AGTACATTTAAAGCTCACAAAATGGTTTTTTAAAACCATAGATTAAAAATACATTTTAACCGGATACGTATGTTTCACATTTATTTAGGCAGCTTTTGTCTCTTAATTTGAGAAAGGTTATCTCTTGAAGATTCTTTACAAACCCTCTAGCCTAGCCTTCAGTTTTTAGCGACTGCCATTTCTTAACAATTTGGCCAAAAGATTGCTTTGACTATCTTGGTTCTCTTCCGTTTCCAAGAAAATGTGAAACAACCTGTGCAAAGTTTCCTTAAAACTAACTGGTTCTCCTTTCAGGTAATTGTGCAAAGGTCACTCTCTGCGAAGAGTCTCTCTCATGCTAAAGGCGGGTCTGTGCTAGGCGGTTATTTGAAAATCTTCCCAATGTTTTTCATTGTCATGCCGGGCATGATTAGCAGAGCTCTCTATCCAGGTAAGCTCCTGCTGGCTGTTCTAAGGCTACAAGTGCCCACAGGTGGCCATTTACAAGGAGGGTGGACAGCTGTAAACATGCAACTACCTACAGTAGGAACTCATCAAGCTATATGGGGAGACAAACTTTCCCAACTGGTCATTGGATAGACAATAATATTGTATTTGCTAGCAATTTGCAGTAAATTTATAAGCAGCATTCACAAGGTAAACACAGTCATCTGCTGTCACCCTATATATGTATGGGTGGCACTGTCAGAAGTAATAACATTTGGGACAGGAAACGCATGGCATGGATCTCAAACACAACCTGAAAAGCATATGTCTGCTGCACACTTAATCACCCATAAATGTAAACAGCAACTGCTTCCTCTATATCTCCTATAACTAAAACCTGCGTTTCTTTATTTACTTGCTTGCTCCAGATGAAGTGGGATGTGTAGACCCAGAAATCTGTGAAAAGGTCTGTGGAGCGAAAGTGGGTTGTTCAAACATTGCCTACCCTAAGCTAGTAATGGAGCTCATGCCTGTAGGTAAGGTAATTCTATTCTTGTTGAGAGCGAGGTGGACCACATGGGCAAGCGTTGGCCTGCTGATGAAGTGGGCTAGTGCCTGGGTGGGCTGGTGAGAGTTCGCTGGTGAAAGTTAACTAGGCTTTCCCTGTTGACTTCTTAGGACTCCGTGGCTTGATGATTGCCGTGATCATGGCTGCCTTGATGAGCTCTCTCACCTCTATCTTCAACAGTAGCAGCACCCTTTTTGCCATAGATATCTGGCAGCGACTCCGCAAGACGGCCACTGAACAGGAACTCATGATCGTCGGAAGGTCCTTTTTTCTTCCCCACACCTTAATTTGCTTATCAAAAATGCTCCCTGAGCAGACACTGCCCACAAACTGCCTAGTGCCCTCAGTTTCCCCTTATCTGCAGGTGCACCTAGTGCAGTTTCTGAAGGGGTTTCATGCCCACGATGATCAAACTTTCTTGTGTGCTCTCCTGTTAAGGTTCAGTTGGAGCCCAAGCAATGAGTGAACTGCGGCAAGAACTTGTGAGATGCTGCAAAAGTCATAGGAAACATTCCACGGTGTATATTCCGTTTCCAGAGCCGCATATTCTGCTTCAGTTAAGAACTGAAAGCAACTCAAACTGAGCCACAAAAGTCTCTGATCCAAATCACTGAACCTGATCCCAAAGCAGATTTAGTTGGACCAAACGCTCATGTCATTGGCCTCCACAGCTGGTGTCCTCCTGTCTCCATACCCAACTCTGCAGCTTGTGCTGTTGGCTGTGTGCTCTCCCCATTTCTGGGATTGCTCTGCAGCTGTTCAGGTGTCTTCTGCCTGTAAAAAATCATGGCCGCCAGAGATGCCTCATCTCTGTGGGATGGGAGCTGTCCACTGCAGCAGCAGCATGTTTGCAGCTTTCCCTTAACGTCCTTTTGGTCAATGAAATGTACTCTCTGTTTGAAGTCTTGACAAAGCAGCACTTGCTGAGTTTTCCCCAAACCCTGTTGTGCCGTGAGGGGGGAAATCCCCACCCCCCTTTCCATGGCTCCATAGAGAACATCAAAAGTTTGTCAAGTTGTGCAGAAGTAACATGCTTCGTCCTGCTCTTGCAGGGTGTTTGTCCTCATTCTCGTTGCCATTAGCATCCTCTGGATCCCCATCATCCAGCTAGCCAACAGCGGTCAGCTCTTTGACTACATTCAGTCAATAACCAGTTACCTAGCGCCACCCATCACTGCCCTCTTCATCCTAGCAATCTTCTGCAAGAGGATCAATGAGCCAGTAAGTACAGAATCAATGAGGAGGTGCGTATGAATAATAGCATCTCCCAAATGTCATCGTTTCATAGTTTTTCAGGGCAGACAAGACCATTCATTACGATTATATTGACTGACTTTCCCTTGAATGCAACAACTGTGGAATTTAGGCCCATTAGAGGACAGCATCTCTTTAAAAAAGATTCTCAGGGCTTTGATTACTGGTTTAACTGAAAGAAGTGATAAGGCACAGGAAGTGAGAGGGGGGAGCAGGGAGAAAAGAAGGGACTTCATAAAGATTCACCAAAACTTATTCTCTCCCCCCCTCCCCACTGCTTAGAAAGTAATTCTTATTCAGAAACTGAATTTCCCTAGCTTTAATCTTCCAGTCATCAAATCTCCTTTGGTTTGAGACTTCAAGAGAGCTGAGCCGTATATAATTATGTGGGAGATCTAGCCACATTGTGAAATCAAGCCAAGTTTCACTTGTTTCTTTTTGACAAACTTGCTAAATAGACCCATTTCTGCAGAACTGTATGTCCTGGTATAACACCAGCACCTCAAGTTGAGGGGAACGCCATTTTTCTCTAAACCCACACAAGTGAGCATTCAGTAACCACCTTCTGGGGCTCAGGACTCAAACCCCAGGTGCCCCAGTGTGCAAGGAATACCAGTTAGGACTTGACTTCCTGAGGACCTTGGGGACTGTGCCTGTCCCAAATCCCATAGCATTTAAGAGGATAATTTGAATAGGTATTATGGCTCCCTTTCAATAGGGAATGGGGCAAGCCCCAAACAGTTTGACCAACTCACTTCAGTCTTTTGCCCTTTCAAACCAGTTTAAGGCTTTGGGGTTGGGAGTGGAAGGAATAGGCTTTGTTTTGTTTAATAGGAATTTCAAGGGAATAAAAAGAAGCGGTCATGTTGTTAAAGTAAGACCAAACCGAAAACAGAGATGCTGTGTATTCTAGCGGCTACTTGTAGATGTGCAGGTATAATTTCCTGGCCTTTTTAACCCATAGGAAACCCATAGCTTCTTTCATCAGTTTCCAACACCATCAGATTCCGCCCCGCCTAGGCTGAAAGCTCAATTACATTTCATGTGCAAACTTAGGGTTTTTTCTATCTCATTCAGTTCCCGCCTTGCTTGCTTTCCCTCCCTCCCCTTCGCCGATGGGCACGCTTTTCTCATAGACTCGAAGTAGAGTTCCCACGGCTCTCTTTAACGAATTCATTCGTACACTCCAACCACTCCATAAATGAACCCACGACAAACATAACACAGCTACATAAATGTCATTTACATAGGTCTGTTGTTACCCAGGTGTGGTTTGGACAATGGCTGCAATTAATTTGTTCGTATTCCAGCTAATTGTATAGCTTGACTGATGAAATTTACAGGAACTTGGAGGGGAACATTCTCACTTAATGCTAAAGAGCTAGTTTAGGACCTATCAATGTTTCTAGGGAGACTGATGGTCAAAGCGAGAAGGGTCCTGGAGAAACTCCACCTGATAATATGGATGCGTTTTAATCTGGGTTCCAACCAGGCATGCTATTTTATCATTTCTGTGCTTGCTTTAACGCATCCTTGCAATTTCAGCCCTATGTCCTGGGCACTAACTTGATATCTGATCCTGAGTTCATGCCCCAATGCTGTCAGCCTAATCCTAACTTCTCTTCCTGATCTGAAAGCCATCCTCTCCAACGCTTGTAGCAGTGCAACACTATAATCAGTTCACTCATTAGTCTTTGCTGTCTTTTCAATGTAATTAGTCCCACGGGAGGCCTCTCTAGAAGTTTTCCACTGTGCTTCTGCAGTAATTAAAGGCTTGTAACGATGTGGGTTCTTATCTTGAAAATCTCTGCCAGGATGGACATTAGGGACCCCGTTTTGTGTTAAGGACTCATGCGGTTGGTCCCACTCTTTGTATGCCTTTAAACATGAAACTAGTGCTGTAGGATAAACTGTCCAAAAAGCTGTTCTGAAGCATTACTTTAAAAAGGTAAATACATTGGCTCAGAGGCAGAGTGTTACAGTGGCCAAACACTTATTTGGTCTAGCGATGTGGGTTTTTTTGTTACCAGAACCAAGATAACTAGGTTAAGATTTGAAATAAGATTTCTAAGTCTAGGTATGGCAATCTTATATATTAGGTGACAATGACTCTCATAAACAAATACCTGTTAAAATTTAAATGTAGTACATATGTTTAAATTATAACTAAATATGTTTTTAGCCCTTCTCTCAATAAAGAACGAAATTGGATCATGTTAATTTCCAAACTGGGATGTTTTAACAAAATCAGTAAGCAAGGAACTTACTGCTACAGTAAGCAAGGACTTGGGAAGCCAGCCCAAGGAATTCCACTACATAACAGGGCTTTCCCCAACTCCCCCCACTCTAACCTCCACTATGAAGGGACAGGAGAACCTGCAGAACACCATGTGTTGGTAGTGGAGACGCCTCCCTTGGGCAAGCAGAAATACTTGCACTGATGGAGCAATCTCCCAAACACTGATTTGAATCCCACCCCATATTTCCAACTCCTCCACTCAAATTTCATCACATCTCCCTATGTTTTCTTCCCAGGGAGCTTTCTGGGGGCTGATGTTTGGGTTAGCAGTCGGACTCGTTCGGATGGTTATGGAGTTTATCTACATGGCGCCCTCCTGTGGAGAGGAGGACCAGAGGCCAGCTCTGTTGAAAGATGTGCACTATCTGTACTTTGCTATCTCCTGTGTGTACTAACAGCAGCTGTCATCATCACTGTTAGCCTCTGCACACCACCAGTCCCAGAGGAAAATGTAAGTGGCTTTCAAGGATGAAATATTCTTTGTTAAACACAAAACAAAACACCAAAACACTTGCTTAGGTTTCCTTGTATGTACCTTGGACCCCTCAGTACTACTGTAAACTGGAAAGCCCTACAAAAGAAGTCTTCCTTCTCAATGATCTTGCTTCCCAGGTATTATAGGGTTAAAAATCATTTAGACTCAGTGAGCACTGGAAATGGAGAGCAGGCTTCCATGCTGTGAGGACACTACTGGCACCATCCTATCAAGTAAGAGAGGCAGACAGTGGGGAAGAAATCATATTAGAATGGGCTGCTGAGGAGGGGATGTAATGGCTCTAATTGAACCCCTCCTCGTATTTCAGAAGAGACGGCATCAATCTTGTAAGCTAACAAGATTAATATTGTTGGAGCCTTGGCATTTAGAAAGAACATTCCATCCCAAAGTGATCTCAATTACATTGAACGGCTGAGGTTTGGTAGCAAAGAACTTTATTTCATTTGCTGCATACAACTGGTAAAAAAAGAAGAAGTTTTCTTTCAGTGAGTTCTTGAAGAGATGCTTTGAAGACTTTCTCACAACTCTGGTTTTCCCAAAAGCAGTCCAATCCTGGTTTTACTGGGTCAGCTTAGTGAAGAATGGAAAGAGTTTTCCTCAGTGAACAAAAGTATGGATCATATTCTCAACTGATGTGAATAGACAATAACCCATGGGTTCAGAGTGCCTGGAGCCCTCAGCTTTTCCAGGTAGCCTTCCTTCCAGGTGGCAGATGGCTTCAACTCCACTTACCTTCCCGTATCAGAGTGGGGCTCTCAGAATTGTATGGCCTAGGAATGGTGAAGAGATTTGTCCAGGCTGCATTTTTCAGTGAGCTGGACTAATATGTAATCTGAAGCATAATTATCCTTCAGATTTTGCACTGGTCCAAATTTTAGAATGCAGGTTTAAAATACATCTTTTGTGATAAAACGTGTACTTAAATATGAATATTCAGACAGATTTAAAAAAAACACCAAAATGTAAATATGTAATGGAACACATGCAAAACTGACAAGGACTGAAAAGAGAATGGGCCATTCATCCTAGCATGGCCACAAAGGAGTGATTAGCGAACCTCAAGCTGAAATGATCTCTTGAATGATCTCTTGAACCTGTGCTCTTGAATGGATAAGGACCCTGGCTCATTGGTGCAGAGTTGAGTACAATCCTCCTGGAGTTTTATCTGGGAAAGAGTGACTACACATGGCCTCACAAAACTTTCTCTGATGACCTTCTCCTCTGACAGTAGCAAATGGACAGAAGAGGAAGGAGAGATTTGTATCTGGTGTTTGAGTAGTACCGTTAATGCACCAAGCTTTAAATGAATTACAGCCTAAAAACAGCAAGCAGAAGCATTTTCCCCTGCTGTTTTGGACACTCTCCCATCCCTGTGGTGATGGATGCTGTACCGCAAAACAAATATGCAAAGAATTTGTTTGGTATGCCTCAGAGTTCATATGTCTTCATTGTACATAGCCCATATTGTGTCATGTCGTCCTTGAAAACTCTGCAAAGGAGCTTACAATTAAATTTGAGACTGTGAAGCTGAAACGCAACTGCCAGATGCCAGATGGCATTTTGGAAGAGAAGGATTTATTCTAGTTCGACAGAGGAAAAAGGGGGAGGGAAAACTTTTTTTTAAAAAATCTTGACAAAGTTTCTTTTAAGGTTTGTCAGACGAGAACACGAGGAAGTGGGGAGTGGCAGTGGAGGAAGTGAGGTCACAAGAGGATAGCGGTACTGTATTAATTCAATTAAAAACTATATCCCACTTTTATTTATAAAATAAACTTGGATCAGATTGCAAAAATAGTAAAAGGTCTAAAAAGACAATGGAAGTCAGGATTATGTGGGAGTAATGGGGTTGGTACAGACTCCCTTCCCCACCACTTCCTTCTCCTCACAGCAGCTCTCCCCCCCCCCCCCGCCGAATACTGAAACTATTCTACTAAGGGTTAGTGAACCCTACTGATTTATTTCTTTAGATGATTTATATGCCCAGGGTGGTTTACAGCAAAGCACCCAGATCAAAATCCATAAAAACAGAGTAATCCTTTAACAGCACATAACAACTAATTAGTGAATAACAATTAACTAACAGCAGCAGCAGCAATCACATCTCCCCTCCTCCAAATGCCCACTGAAAAAGATGAGTCATAACTAGCCTCCTAAAACTATAGTTGGAACCAAATGCACCTTAGCAGTGTATCAGGAGCCACCACTGAAAAGGCCCTTTTCAAGGCTATCACACCATGTACCTCATTCCACAGAGAGAGTACCAGGTGGGTTTCATCTGCTGATCTTAGAGCATGGACAGGTCGAGTCAAGACATTGGGGGCTTTAAATGGGCTGGGCTGTAGCATGGGGAGCAAGGGGGAAGAAAGATCCTCCCAATTCAGGCAGAAACATTTACCACGTTGCTTCCACTCAATTTTGTGGGATTCTCACTCAACCCTTATGGTTATTTGAATGTCATTCATTCATCAGATAAGAAGGTCCTGCAGCCACTGTACCTCCCAGCTTGTAGGTTTACTACTCCTTCACCTGCTCAGTGTAGTTTGTAGAACTCTAGTATGTGCTTGAAAAAAACAAGAGAAGACAGGCTAAGCAACTGATGGAGTAATGGGGTCTCAGGTTGGCATGATGGGCCTTTCAAAAGACACATGGTCTCTCTCCAGATGAATACATATGAACTCTAGTATGTCAGAAATAAGTGTCCTACACAAGCCAAAGTCATGATAAACCTTGCCCATGAATCTGTTTCCTATCCAATAAGTGCATTTAGAGTTACAAGCATTAATCACGCCTGCACTTAAATTAGTTTAAGTGTTTTTGTCGCTACCGCTAAAACTATTTTATTTCATCCTAATGTATCTCTTCCCCTTCACTCACCAACAAGCCATTTGTGTTCAGAGGAAGAGGAAAATGTCTCCTGGATCCTTTTGTGTCCTCCAGTTTCATTACATTCTAGTTAGATTTAATGAGTAACCAAAAGGGGGGGGGAGGAAAGGAACGTAAAAAAGAAAGAAAGAAGCCCCTAAAAGGATTCTTCAGGAAAGATGAGGATCATCAAATCAAAGCAATTTAGCACAATGTGACAAGAAAGATTAGCCTTGCCTGATGCTCATCTTGGTTGAAAATAATTTAAATAAAGCTATAAATCTTCCAGAGATTATACAACTTTTTGTGTCAGCTGGAAACTGCCTTCCAGATTTTGTGCCTGAAATTCAAAGTATTAAAACTACTGTTCATTTATAAGTGACCTTTTGAGAGTTACTTTCCAAGTAGAGTAGTATGCTAATGGCATGCTATGTGCAAATGTATCTGTATTAGAACTCCCTACAACATTTTTGTTTTTTAGAAAAGCAACTTTAGGAGGGGTCAGTTTGGAGCAGAGAAGTGGGGAGGGGTGTGCTTTATGCTTCAACACAAGAGAGATGGGTGGCTTCCACATGAACTGGTGCTGCTTCCACATGCAAGTTTTTCACATGTTGCCATCCTCTTCAAAATACCCGGGAGGTTCCGGTTCTCTCTTCTGTTTTGTATATATAAAGGTTCTGTGTGCCACTCTACGATTCTATGATTTTATATTATCGTGATTCTGGGAGACAGCGAATCACAAGGTACTTACTTTTGAGTAGACATGCATCAGATTGCGATGTGCCTTTTTAGTACGAGTTGCAGGACAACCTATCCCCACACAATTCATGTGGCTAAAGCCATGCTCCTTTAAGCCCTTCTGTGTCAATCTGGCTAGGTCTAAAGCAAGCAGATGCATAAGCTAATGATACACAAATATTCTGCAGCTTCACACCTTTGTTTTTGATTTGCAAATTACCCAGCTTGCCCGACTGACATGGTGGACTAGACACAGCAAAAGAGATGGAAAAGACTTGGAGAGCCACACCTGCCCAAGCACAGAGATGATTTCCTCCAAGAGAGAGAATGATGTACCGGTAGATACTGTTCAGTCAGAGAATGGAGATTTAGTATGTAAAGAGCATGGAGGTATGTTACCTGTTTTCTCCTGCCAGTTGTGTATTTTTGTGTGCGCACAATAGACATAGGACATCCAGGGTCCATCAAAACCAACAGATGACTAGAAAGCTTGCTCCATAACCTTGGGTCCTCTGCTTAGTATAAGTGGTTTGCCAGACTAGACACGCCATGGTAGATAGGTGCAACTTTCTGCTCATGATATAATGTATAGTACTTTCCCCTGATTTTATGGTTGTATCTTTTTGTAAACTGCTTTGGGGGTTTTAAAATCAAGCAGTGTATAAATGTTATGAAATAAATAGGGAGAGAAATGTTCCTAGAAATTAGTTGAATCTATTAACATCGTAGGTTTTGTTTTTTGCAGCAACATGTGCCGAATTCTACAAAAACTGATCATGACTGTTGTTCTTTAAGAGGCCTATTTTGAAACAATTTCCTTTGATGTGTAACATTTCTCCACTAAAATGAGGGAAACCAAAGATTGGAAAGCTTAATTGCACTTTTGGTCAGAGGAGTTACCGTATTTTTCGCCCCATAGGACGCACCGGCCCATAGGACGCACCTAGTTTTTTGGGGGGGAAATAAAGGGGGGGGAATTATTTTTTTCCCCCAGGTGCGCTGCGCTAAGCCCGAAGCTTGGGGCGTGCTGAGCTCAGCGCGCCCCAAGCTTCTGGGTGCCGGCAAGGTCTCCGCTAGCCGTGGGAGAGCTGCGCGACTTCACGCGGCTCTCCCAGGGCTAGCGGAGCACTGCGCTAATCCCGAAGCTTGGGGCGTGTGGAGCTCAGCGCGCCCCAAGCTTCTGGGTGCAGGCAAGCTCTCCGCTAGCCCTGGGAGAGCTGGGTCTCCCACGGCTAGCGGATAGCTTCCTGAAGCCTGGAGAGCGAGAGGTCGGTGCGCACCGACCCCCCTCGCTCTCCAGGCTTCAGCGAAAGCCTGCATTCGCCCCATAGGACACACACACATTTCTCCTTCATTTTTGGAGGGGGAAAAGTGCGTCTTACAGGGCAAAAAAACGGTACTCTTTTACAAGTGCACAGCACTGCAATGTTATCTTCTGGCAGCAATTTGAGAGCAGAAAAGGGAAACCCAGTGGTTGCAACTTGAAAGTTGGATGGATGTAAAGTGTTGTGTTTAGCTGGAATAATCATCATTCATTATCACAAAAAGATCTTGCATAAAATGTTTTTAGTCATTTTCATACAGAATTCGAGTCAGCTCAGTGAGGAGATGCCACAAATATTTGTTTAGGATTAAAGCCATTCTCCTTGCCTCTCAGTCTAATCCGCAGGTATAATGGGAAACAACAACAAAGCAGCTTAAAAACCAATAAATGTATTATGACATGAACTTCTGACAAAATAGACTGCAATCCACTAAAGTATAAATCAAAGCATAATAAATTAGTTGGTCACATCCACACCATACATTTAAAGCACATTTAACATGCATTTAAGACACACTGATACCCACAAGGAACCCTGAGAACTGTGATCTCTTAAGGGTGCTGGAAATCCAAGCTCTGTGAGGAGTAAACTGCAGTTCTCAGGGTTCATTGTGGGGGCGCTGTGTGCTTTAAACGTATGGGGTTGTATCCAGCACAGCTAGAAGTCACTTAGCAGTATACTTGCTCCACTGGTGAAATGTTTTGTACCAGTGAAACATTGTTGCAAGAGAGAATGCATAAGCAAATTTTGGTGCAATCAGCTATGCAATCTGTTGCACTAGATTCCTCTGCTGCACAACATTTAAACGCACCCTTGCACTGGCAGACAGAGCTTTGGATAAAGCCTGTGGCCTTTAAGGTGCCACAACACTTTGTCGTTTTTGCTGCAGCACACAGCTACACTTCTGGAAATTGTTGCATAGCAAGTAAAATGGGATAACGTTTACAAAGCCCCCTCCCCAAATCCTTGGATTTTCTAACTTGGCTGAATTCCCACCCTTTGCTCAGAGCTGTTGGATTTATCTTCATCAAAGTGTTCCTTTTAGAGCTCATTGTCCCATATCTTTGTACAAGGATGGGGAAACTGTGGTCATGCACATGCTGTCGAGCTCCAACTACCATCAGCCCCAGACATCATGGCCAATAGTCAGGGATGATGGGAGCAACATCTGGAGGACCACAGGTTCCCTAGCCCTGCTTAGTCCCTATGGAATAACAACTATGCTAGCCCACATTTTAAGTCCAGGCTTTTGAACTGAGAAAAAAGGCAGGGAATCAGGAGACGGGGGCACTATTATCCGCTGAAACTCCTTATTGTGGAGAGGTCCAAAGGAAAGAGGTCTGGAAACCACTGAAAAACGAGGAGACCAGACTTTTATCTGTGGGTCTGACAAGTATAGTTTGATTCACATTCGAAGCAGCTGCTCAACCTAATGTTGTTAATTATTTGTCACCTTTGTTTTCACATGAACTAAACTCATCTGTCCTTGCATCTGTTTGTAAACAGCTATCCTGAAGATGAGGTTATTAGCACTGACGGCAAAGGAAATGTAACATCCTTCATGCAAAAGCATAATGAGGCTCTGTGTGTGTGTGTGTTTATGCCATTTTAGTACCTCAAAGGGCTGCGCTTGGAAAAATAAGTGGGAAAGATATAAGGGTTTCCTTCTGTTTTATATCTGGTCTGTTCTACCATGAGAGATGAAGAGGTTCAACAGGTGAAGTGAAGCATTCCCTAGCAGGCAGATGTTATTAAAAGCACAGGAGCTGAGAAAGACAGGGCCACAATGCTATGCACACACACGTCATATTGACCAACAGATCTCATTTGCTGGAGGGACTTCACAGAAAGAAAGCAGGACAACAAAGCAAGAGCCTCTGTACTTCACAGCTTAGCATCCAGGAGCAAGGGCTTTACCTGTGTTCGCTAATAAGGTCCTTCCAACCGTGCACCCAATAGTATTGGTTCCCATTCATTATGAAGTGTCCATGGGATCTAAATGCTGCTTCCTGGTAGCTTCAATAGTTAGGCTATAGCAGTGATGGCCAAACTTGGCCCTCCAGTTGGTTCTGAACTACAACTCCCATCATCCCTGACAGGACCATTGGTCAGGGATGATGGGAATTGTAGTCCCAAAACAGCTGGAGGGCCAAGTTTGGTCATCAGTGGGCTATAGTCTAGAAGTGGGAGCCAATGCTGGAGTTCAGGGGATTCAAGCCACCTGGGGATTGGGGTAGTACGTTGACCAGCAGTATAATGTCCTCTTGGCTGCAGTAACCAGTGCAGTAGCCATGCTGTACTTCGGAGTTGGGGAACCTGTGTGAGTTCGTGACTCTCCCATACTTCATCTGTCTCTGTCATAAAGTTACCACATCCTGCTAAAACTGTAAAATACCAGTAAGTGGTTCATATAAACACACAAAACGTTAAAAAAAACCCCACACCGTTTTCCTCATTTTTTCCCCATTCAGGAGCGAAGCATCCTTGCTGGAAGAAAGTGTTTTTCTGGTTCTGTGGGATTTCCACTGACCCCAAGCCCACTTTAACCAGAGAGGAGGAAGCGGCGCTTGAAAAGAAACTCACCAGCATCAAGGAAGAGCCAGTGTGGAAGGCTGTTTGCAATGCCAATGCTGTAGCTCTCTTGGCTATTAACATCTTCTTATGGGGATACTTTGGGTGAGCCCAGTATTGCCTCGCTCCAGTTAGAACAAGCACAGGCATCAACCGGAAGCTACAAGTTGCAATTCATCCAGCTGTGGACCTACACTGTGGCTTTAGCTGGTTCCCTTCTCTCAGTCTGCACCCCTATCGGTGATACCTTGACCTACCTCATTGGGTTGTTGTGAAGACACACAATAAAGTGATTTACACACCACAAGTCTAAGAAATATTTATTATTAATAGCTGTTACTTTCCTCCAAAGCTCCATGCTTCTGAAAATGGAAAGACATCTTCTTTATTTATATCAGGGGTCTGCAACCCGCGGCTCCGGGGCCGCATGTGGCTCTTTTACACCTTTGCTGCGGCTCCGGGGCGGATACTAGCGAGGGGAGGAGGCACATTGTGTGCCCCGACACTCCCCACTGTGGCGGGCGCTGTACTGGCTGTGACATCGCATGGGGGCGGTGCGTGCGTTAGTCACGCACCGTCCCAACGTCACCTTCCCACCTGCTGTCAGATCGCGGCTCCGGAGGTATATTTGTTTTAAATGTCGCAATGGTTTTGCGGCTCCCAGTTTTTTTTTCCTTCGGAAACGGGTCCAAGTGGCTCTTTTTGTCTTAAAGGTTGCAGACCCCTGATTTATATATAAAGTGGGGAGAAGAACTACAGGGTAATTTTTTAAAGCAAGAGATGCAATTAACATACCTTCCGGTCAGTCTTACTTCTTGAATGGCATGTACTCAGGCTGCCAGTCAGTGTAGACAAAACTAAGCTAGATGGGGCAATTATGTGACTGGGTATAAGGAAGCTTCCTATGTCCCTATCCGCAGGTAAGCCTCAGAACAGGAGGCAGCTAATACCAAGAGTGTGTTCATTGTGCTCCTTTGGCAGCTGCCTATGCAGTGTTTAATTCAAAGGTCCGGCCAGGATGTGCTGCATGAATTGTGCTGAGAAACATAATAGGTTTCTGAATGCATTCAGGTGGGGTCGTTGGAAACAATGGAATATAACATCCAGATTTCCATTCTGTTCCCAACCACTGATGGGCACCATCAGAACTAGCAGCACCAGAACTAGGCATCAGTTCAACCGAGTAGAACTGTTTAGAAGACCTATATGCAGTCTCATACTGTACACACATGCATGGGTCAGAGGCTCTGACTCACTAAAGAAACCAATTCTTTCCAGTAGCACCTTAGAGACCAACTTTGTTATTGGTATGAGCTTTCGTGTGCATGCACACTTCTTCAGATAAATCACTAAAGAATGATTTTTTTCATGCTGGGACATTTCAAGAAATGAGTTGTTAGCACTATAGAATTCATACGTGTGTTTGTGTTGTAAACCGATTGTGATATAACAGCACTATCCTAGGTGCAATGAGTTGCCTCAATTGTAATTGACGTGTAAGTCCCTTGGCAGCAGACATTTTTAATGATGTCAATGCATACTTTCTTATTAATCTTCCTTGCTAGGGCTGTGTCGATCAGCAAATGATTATCATTCATTTTCCTGACAAATCTATCAAGGTCATTCATTATTGTTCCACACACAAAAAAAGAATCTTCTTTTAAACTAAGATTAATGTCTTGCTGTTTTGTTGTCAGGCTGGCTGAGCAAGAGGAAATGAAATTAACAATGAACCCCTACAAACATGTCACTACACTAATTTATTGGGGAAATATTTTAAAATGTTATCTGAAATATAGTGGGTTTAAAAAGAAAACCTGCTTCTATGGCACATTTTTAGTACTGTAAGCAAAAAAAAAACCTCTACAAATTTGAGGAAGATGGGCATCAGATTTGCAAATCACTTTTCATCTTTTATGCACTACTCCCTATAAATTCTAAATATATAGAGGAGTTAATAAGATGACTTTCTCACCAATTAAGGCATTCATCTTTATTACACTGCAATCCATTTTGTCCAACACCAAGAAAATCCTTCCATGCTCGTTCATTCAAATTTAAAAAGACTTGTCCCTGGCCGCAATATAACAGACCCCATCAGGAAACTACTGAACCTGATCGAACACAGCAAGGCAACCAAACTCCCATTGACAATTATGTCCCTAGACATACT